AGGGAACTACTTTAGCACAATCAGAGTCATTCACATAATTAGCAACAGAGACAAGCTTTGCTCCCAGATGGCAATCATCTCAAGCTCATTAAAAGACGCAGGGAATGAGCTGATTTACCATCTCCTCCTAACAGTCTCTAGGGAAATGAGCACATCCCACTCCGGGGAGGCGTTGACGCCGTCCGTACCGATGGTGACATGGTCACCTCGTTCTGAGAGGCTGGCCTGCCGGCCACGGGGAGCGGCGGCCCCCCAGCCTGTGTCCTGCTCCGGCCCTCCCGAACCCTCTTCATCTCGCGTCCTTGACCTCACATGGGGCTTCTCCCTTCTCCACGTCTGTGCTCACCGAGCAAGCTCTCGGGGTGCGTGGGCCGCTGCTCAGGTCCTCAGAGCACCAGGCAGGCCTAGGAATTTCCTCACTTTGTCCTGCAGCAGAACTGACCCTGGACCCAAGCCTCTCTCTGTGTTATAAAAATACAAGCCCAGGTTTTATTTTATTATTAAACTCAACGGATAAGCGTCACCCTTTTGAAGTGCCATGGGTTCTGCCCCTGACCTGTCCTAGGGTTGCTCCAGGGACAGCGTGTGGGGCACAGTGCTCATGGCTGTGTGTGCGCGGAGCTGCCCGGGGCCCGTGGCTGCTGGTGAGGAGGCAGGAGGTGGGACCCGAGATGCCGCATCTCTGACAAGCTTGCAGGTGGTGCTGGTGCCCCTGGCCCATGGGCCTTGCTGTGCTCTGCTCAGGGAGCCTCTCAGAGCGCAGGACCAGGACCCCTGCGCAGGCAAATCCTGAAACCTTTAGTGTTCAATCTGTCTTCCTCTTTCATAAGCCGTTCGCCAGAGGGAGACCCAGTCCGAGTCTGTCCCCAGAAGGAGGCACCACTTTCTCCAGTCTCCAGGGCGCCGCCCTCCCAGTGCTGCTGAACAATTTCCTCAAGGAGATCATCCAGAGGTAGCACCGCCTCCGTTTCTAGCTTGGGCGGGCATGTGGCCCAACACCTGTCTCAGAGACGGGAGAACATTCCGTGTCCTTCCTGAGCTGGTGGCCCAGCCCCCTTGCCTCCACAACTTTCTACAGCTTGTCCCGTGGCTTCCAGAGGGGAGTACCCGGGCGCCCTGGCCGCTCCGTGTTGTGAGGTCTGTCTTTCAACTCCGTGGAGGTCGGCGTTTGCTCTGACAACATGGTCATAGGGAAGCCCTGTTGGACAGACAGCCACGTGACTGATTACTCAGCTCTGCCTTGCATCCGACCCAGACGATGAGAGGACCATGGAAACCTCCCAGAGGAGCTGCCCTCCCCACCCCAAACCCAGGCCAGCTGGGCCCAACTAGCTGTTAAATTCCTTGAGGTCTGTCTCACCAACACATGGGCCACGCCATCTTCCGACGTTACTGACTCGTGGTAGTTCTTGTAAAAGTGCATCTTGAATGTCTTCAACGGGAGCCGCTGAAGTTTGCAACGATTCAAGCAAACACGTAAAAGACAAGACTGAAGTTTAACACACTGCAGATCTTTGGGAAATTAAGGAAGCAGCGTGGATGCAGCCCACACCCTCAGCCCTGAACACCTCATGCGTCAGGTTCAGAAGCATGTGTGCGACCTTTCTCGTGTGAGAAATCGTGGCTCCGAAGATCCGTGCGGAGTACAGAGGGGTTCTCATGGGCACAGCCCCTGGGTGGTCAGCAGGCAGCAGTGAGCCCAGCTCTCCAGGGGCACACCTGAACAGGTGAGGGGACGAGTGGAGCTGACAGGGTGAGTCTTCTTTCTAAGATTGGTGGTTGACCCCACAGCGAACTCTCAGAGGATTCACAAAATGACACGGGTGGCACCCCGCGTGCGGACACTAAAGTCCATTGGCCGATGGGAGCCTGCGTTCTGTGGGGGCCGCGGGGCAAGGACAGGTGGACAGGGGCTGGCTGGGGGGCCGGCCTGCATGGGGGCTGCCATGGGGGGAGCCCTCGGGTCCCCTGCGGACAAAGCAGAGCTGTGTCCACTGGACCTGCCCGAGGGTCCCCGGACTGAGGCTCGCGGCCTGAGGGCAGCACCAGCAACAGACAGACTTGGGCGAACCCAGCCCACTGGACCTGAGAGAGCCCAGGGACTGAAGGAGGAACTCAACTGGACCTCAGGGACGCCAGCAAAACAATCTAAAAAGTCAGAGATCTATGAACATGGTTGTGGCGGTAATCATAAGCATGTTGTTTTCATCAACAAGAGTGTTACTGTTTCGGGTAACAAAAGTAAACACGTTACTTAGTGCTGACTTCACAATTCCTATCTAAAGCAAGTGCTCATGGGAAGGGCAGACCTCTAATGAAATGTTGGTTCATTGTAAAGGCAGCTAATTGCCGGTGTTGGAAACACCAGTGTTAGCCGCTCTATTTTAAGTGAATGTAACAGGCTGGTCCCAGTAATTATCGACTCGTGGGACTCACTTCTGTGAAAGTAAAGGGTGCTCAGGTTAAAAGAAAGCTAAACAGGAAACGCACCCAGATTAGAATATAAAATAGTAATTACTCCTTTATTGATGTTCTTAAGGATAGATTACTTTGGCGTAACCTGTTTAAATATGAATTAAGGCAATAAAAATAGCAAATGAGACCATATCAAAATTAAAAGCTTCTGTTCATCCAAGGACACGATCCACAGAGTGAAAAGACGACCTGTGGAGTGGGGGAGATGTTTGCAAATCACGTATCTGATGAGGGGCTGATATCAGAATGCATAATGAGCTCCCATGCTCGGCCACACCAAACAACCTGATTAAAGAACCGACAAGCGATCTGAGCAGACATTTCTCCAAAGATGCGCCAACGGCACAGAAAAGATGTTCACCATCAGAAATGCAAATCAGAGCCCCCGAGGTTCCACCTTACACTCGGTAGGATGGCTACCCCCAAAACCAAACCAAACCAGAAAATAAGTGTGGTGAGGGCTGGGGAAACTGGAGCCCTCGTCCCTGTGGGAGGGGGTTGGGGAATGTGACCTGGCGCAGCCGCTGCGCATGGAAAACAGTTTGGGATTCTTTGAAAAATTAAACACAGAATCGCCACATGGTCCAGCAAGTCCACTTCTGGGCACACATCCAAAGAAGGAGGAAGCAGGGTCTTCATGAGATATCTGCACCCCTGTGTTCAGAGCACCGTTATCCCCGAGAGCTAAAGTGTTCATTGACAGATGAATGGATGAGCAAGATGTGGTCCATGCACACAGTGGAAGATGACTCAGCCTTAAAAAGGAAGCGAATTCGCACACCTGTTTCAGCAAGGCTGAACCCTGAGGACATCATGCTCTGCAATTAAGCCAGTCACCAGAAGACAAATAGTGTAGGATTCCACTCACATGGGACATGGAGAGTCGTCAGATTCAAAGGGACAGAAAGCAGAATTGTGGGCGCCAGGGGCTGGAGAGTCAGTGTTTCATGGGGACAGTTCAGTTTGGGAGGATGAGAGACTTCTGGAGATGGTGCTTAGTGTGAATGTGCTCAGTGCCACTAAGCCGCGCACTTAAAAATTGTTAAGATGGTAAATTTTAGGGGATGTTTAACAAATAAAGCCATGAATAAAAGGCATCTTTTATAACGAAGGGGCCCACGCAGTCGTGGCTGGGAAAAGGTAAATGGCATTGGCAAATCACGTCCTCCCAGAATTTATATTCCAAAGCCCTAACCCCCAGCCTGACTCATTAGCAGCTGGGATGGTTAGGAGTTAACTGAGGTTGAACGAGGTCACAGGGTGCAGCCCTGGCCCAGCGGGGCCCCCGTGAGAGGTCTCGCCCCCACCTGTGAGGAGCAGTGAGAAGCACGTCTGCAGGCTGGGGAGGGGTCCCGTCTCCACAGAGAGACCGGTGTCTGTGGTGTTCTCATTGCCCAGCCTGAGCCCCTCCGCCCACCCCGGTGTCACCGTGTGGGATCGGTCGGGCCCCCCTGCTCCAGAGACGAGCAGCCAGGGGATGCTGCCTAGTTGCCGGGTCCCAGCCTGGGACACAGGACCTCACGGCGTCTCCCTTTTCTTCCTCTGAGTGGTGTTGACAACGTGAAGCCTGGTCTATGGGGTTGAGGGCTGACCTGCGTTATGCTAATAGAAGCGGGACGCTGTGGCCCTGAGATCCCGGTGGACACGCTGTCTGCTGGTTCACGGCCACAGCGCTGGGCGTGTGCCCAGAACCGGCTTATCCCAGACAGGCTGAGTAGACGCGGCCGAGCCCCGCTGCACAAGCAGGTGCGGCCTCCGGTAGAGAAAGAGGGTGTGGACGTCACAGGAGGGGCTTAGGGGCACCTGGGCCTGCGTGACCCCAAACCAACCTTTTTTGTGGTTTACGTGAGAAAGAACAGCGTCTTCCCACCCGACCTCTGCCTGAGCTGCTCCTTCAACACTTAGTTTCAGTGGCCTGTGGCTTCCCTCTTGCTGATGTGTAGTGGGACCGGGTCCTGGACTGTCTCCACTGGCTCACAGTCCCGCTGCCTCACGCCCTGGCCAGACCCCGCACGGTCGCACAAACTCTACCTCACTAATCACGCAATAGAAGGGACACGGTCTGTGGTGAACGTTCCGAAAGTCACAAAGGTGGAGCAAACAAAAACAATTTGCCACAGAACGTGGCTGTGGGACGCAGGGCAAGCCCTACAGACCTCGTGTGGCGGTTGCTGCGAATGCCGGCCGTGAGGGTCATTCATGTCCGTCAGGAGCCCCGGGTCAGGGAGGAGGGCCAGGACCCACTTCCTGTGCTCATGAGGAGCGCTCGGTGACCTGGCAGCTTCCGCAAGGCCATGCAGAGCGCGGGCGGGTTATCCGTGGGGCTACCCGCTTGAAACCAGAGCAGAAAGGTTTTGTTCAGTTGTTCCTATGCTATAAAACCATTCCGCTCCTTGACGCTCACTGGATCTTCACGTGTCATGCATTTGGACGTGGTTTGCTCCTCCGGTGGATCTGAGATCCTGGCCCGGGAAGGGAAGGCGCTCTCGGGGCCCCGGGAGTTCGCGTCACGTGAAGGGACCTACCGCGATGCTCTCCTCGCGCCGGTACACCTTCCAGTTCCTGCTGCTGTCGCTGAACATCAGGAGGTAGCCGGTCACCCAGTCGGAGCTCCCGTACCCGCCCTGCGTGGCCACCGCGGTGACCGACACCCTGTCCCCGAGGTCGAGCTGCAGCCACTGGCCCCTGCTTGACACGTGTGGTGTCCAGCCCCCAGCTCCTTGTGGAGGAAAAGGAGACAGGAAGAACACAGTAAGAGCGGGAAACATTAAAATGCATCTTCAAGGGGCAAAAACAGCACAGGACGTATGCTTTTGTGGCTTCTGGGAAGACTGTGTCCCCGAAGCCTGGGAGCTCGACCTCCTGACCATGAGCACGGTTACACGCAGGGAATAATGCACTGTCTGTGCCCTCCTGCTCCTGGGGCGTGTGACTGCCTCACACGGGCTCCAGCTGCTTGGTGTCGGGGGGACACCCCATGGAGCCCATCGGCCTCCCAACCCGTGTCCTCCAGGCCCCAACCTGTGTCCTCCGGTCGCCATCGGCCTCCACACCTTTCCAGGGTACACAGGGTGCATCTAGCTCACGGCAGAGCAGGACGTCCGTCCGGATGCCCCACCCCTGGGGTCCAGCGTCCCACTCTGGGGACCCACTCTGGGGTCCTCAGGATGTGGCTGGCCACGGGGAGCCCCAGACTCAATGACATGGGCATGTGAAGCAGAGTTAGGAGCTCAGAGGTGGGAGAAGGTGCCAGTGGATGGTGAGGCCATGTGGGGTGGGGTGACAACGGCAAACCCCACACCAAGGTGAGGAGGGGTTCATGCAGCAAAGTGCACCCCCCACTCCTGGGAGACAGAGGACAACTAAGGACCAGAGGAAAAAGGGCCGCCATCTGGTATGGGGCCAGTGTCCCCTGTGACCCCAGCCCTGAGCAGAGAACCAGGGGGACAGAGCAGGGACCTCCTAGGGACACTGCAGAGGCCAGGAAGAGGGGACAGGGGTGTGACCGGAAGGTGGAGTCCACCTCGAGCCCCGCCATGGAGGGACAGACCCAGGCTTGGAGACTGTGGAGGGGTGCAGTCCCGGAGGACCCCCAGCCCTCCTCCCACACACACAGCAAACACCAACAGTGGACACCAAGTGCTGGTCACCCTGGGATTGCCGAGGTGGGGGCGCCCGTAGCTGGAGGAATCCAGTATCACCAAACCAGTGAGAGGAGAGTAAAACCCAATTAGAGTTACTGAGAAAATCAGGAAGCAAATATTCATAAGAAGTAACTGAAGAACATCCCTACCTCCTAAAAACAACTATGAAGCAAAAGGAAACCACAGAAAATAAAACTCTTACAAGCCTTTGAGGGTCTAAAGTACCACCTTGAATCACAGGTTCAGAACTCAGAACAGCAATGGGCCAAACACGGAGTTATGAGAAAAAAATTGATTGAACACAGGAAGCAAATGGGGAAAGAGAAAAAATTATTTTTAAAATAAAGAGTAAATACCATGACTATTAGAATGGCCCAAATCCAGACCCCTGATAGCCCCAGTGCTGATGCTGACGAGGTGCAGTACTCACTGTGGCGGGGGGGGGGGGCCGGGGGGGGGGGACGTGGGAGAGAAGACAGCCTGGTGGTTTCTCACAAACACACTTTTACCATAGGATCCAGGAATTGCAATCCTTGGTATTCACCCAAATATTGTACACTTCTTTTGTAACTGACAAACACTGGAACAAACAGGATGCCCTTCAGTAAGTGGATGGATGAATAAACTGGGGTCCATCCAGAAAGTGGAATGTTGTTCTGTGCCAAAAAGAAATGAGCTATCAAGCCACAAAAAGACATGGAGGAAACTTAAATGCATTTTACTAAGTGAAAGAAGCCAATCTGAAAAGGCTACACACTGTGTGATCCTAACTCTATAATATTCTGGAAAAGGCAGAACTAGGGAGACAGTAAAAATCAGTGGTTGGCAGGGTCTGGGGGGAGGGTGAGCAGGCTCTGGGGGTCCAGAGGAGGGTGAGCAGGGGCTGGGGGGAGGCTGAGCAGGGACTGGGGGTCTGGGGGAGGGTGAGCAGGGGCTGGGGGAGGGTGAGCACAGAGGTATTTAGGTCAGTGAAACCACTGTGTATGCTATGTTATGGTAGATACAAATGTATTTGGTAAAACCCACAGTGCACAACACCAAGGATGAGCCCAACGCAGACTCTGGGCTCTGGGTAACAGCGGTGCATCAGGGTGGGCTCATCAAGTGCAGTGCACGTGCCGCACTACTGTGCTACTGGGAGGTGTTCATCGTCAGGACTCCGCATGTGGGTGGCAGTAGGAGGGTGCAGTGCGTGGGGGCTCTCAGTCCTTCCCCCTCCGTGTTACTGCAAACCCAAAACTGTTCTAAAATCAGTCTGTTAGTTAAAGAGAGAATAAATTGCACAGTGTCCAAGGGAGAATAGACTGAGAGGGAAAGGTAGTAAAGGACATCACGGAAGGCGGCGCACATCCAAGGGCACGAAAATGATCAAATGAATAAAGGGTCAGAGAAGAAGTGGTGGAAGCAGGCAAAGCGGGAATAGTTTCCAGAGAGCCGAGTCCCGGGGAGAGACAAACCAATGCAGGAGCATTCGTGTGGCAAATGCAACCTAACGAAACCTTTTCAGAGAAAAAGGACCGTAAGAGTCTCTGCAGAGCCCGACAATGACAACAGTTGGATCTTGAGCAAAAATCCAGAAATAGACCCAGAGACATGTGAGAATTCAGTGTGACAAAGGCGGGTTCTCCAAGTTCTGGGGTGAGGACGGCCGCCTTCCTGAGACAGCAGGGCAGCCTGTGGGAAGGTGGTAAAGTTAAATCCGTATTCTACACTGCACGGAGTGATTGCCTCGTGGGTCAGGGATTTGGCGTGGACGTGCAACCACGCAGATGCTGGAGGAAAGGAGACACATTCCTCTTCGCCACGGTGCAGAGAAAACTTTTCTCACTGTGACTCACAAAGTCTGGCCCTCAGCGTCTGCACCCTGTTATCCTGCACAGTGATCTGAGGTCCCTGGAGAAGTGGTTGATTCCCACAAAAAATACAAAAGGAGCTTAGAACATCCTGTGTGCTAAAAAGTAGGAAGTGCTCAGGAAAAGGGAGACTTGTTGAAAGAATGGGAGAACCAACTGGAAGGTTGGCCAACTCTAGGACAACTGAGCAATGAAGTGAAAAAATGGATTTTATGCCTTAGAATGTGAATATCTGCGAGTTTATACTGGTGAAAATAAATGAACTGGGTGCCTGGGTGGCTCAGTCGGTGAAGCACCTGCCTTCGGCTCAGGTCGTGATCCCAGGGTCCTGGGATCGAGCCCCACATCGGGCTCCCTGCTCAGCGAAGAGTCTGCTTCTCCCTCTGCCCCTCCCCCGGCTCATGCTCTCTCTGTCCCTCAAATGAATAAATAAAATCTTAAAAAAAAGAAAAAGAAAAGAAATGAGCAATCAAGCACATGCACGTTCAGGAGGAAGGGGCAGTTCTTCCTCATGGGAGAATCCCAGGGGTGACCCCCCAGGAGAGAATCCTCCACGGCACACACAACAGTGGGGGGCTGCAGCGCAGCTGTGTGGATGGACGTCGACGCTGGTGGGGAGATGTTTGGGGAGAAACCGCATCAGTGGGTCTCAAAGTCTCCCCCAAGTCACTCATCACCATGGAGGGGTCCAGGCTCCCATCACCATCATCAGACAAATCCCCTCATGAGCCCCCAGTGGACACAAAGAGAAGGGCACATGGCATTTCTGGGGCACTCTTGTCAGAAATTCATGAACTCACTCCAGTCAAGGGAAAACTGCAGAGTCAACCCAGGAAACATTCTCCAAAAGACCAGGGAAGACTGAGTTCTCGCCAAACATTGGAGGGGACAAAGGACCCAGGGCCCAGGTGCCTCTGGGGACAGCGGAAGGACAGGGACCAGTGCAAAGAGCTCGCCCTGCCTTCTGGGCTCAGGAGCTTCCCCACCTTGCCATCAGCAAAGTGTTAGCAGGCAGGAGCGCCTGGGAGACTCTTCACATCCTTCCGTGACTCTTCTGTGCCATTAGCCCAAAATAAGAAGTTAAGCAACTGTGGACAAGAAGAGAGAGAGGCCGGGACCCCAGGCCATCGGGAGGTTGCTATCAAAGACTGTGAGCAGATTTGGACACCAGCTCAGGCAGGGTGAGGACAAAGAACCCTGGGCTGTCCAGACACAGGCCCTGTACGGGCCTCCCCACTGCCCACAGTGCCACAGCCAAGCCAAGCAGGCCGTTGTGCTTCAAATGGGGAAGCTGTGGTCTGTTCACAGCTCGTAAGATGCCATAACACTAATCAGATGTTGTGACTGATCTTTGATGCTTTTTAAAGAACTTTTGGCCTGGGGCCCAGTAGGACGTGAGCAGCGAAGCCTGGTGGCATTTAGAGGTCATGGTACTCGGCCCCCGAATCCCAGGGAGCCCCGTGATTCCACGCAGTTGCCTCCTAGGCTGAGCTCCCACGGCATGCAGCTCACCCTCTGCAGTGTGTGAAGTCCTGAGGAATCACGAAACCATCATCCTTCCTCAGAAAAACTTTAATACCAAACATACCATGTAGGGAGGAAAATGGTTTCCTCTACCCTTCTGAGTTCTTGGCTGAGAGCCTGTGATACAAGACGGAGTAGCAAGGAAAAGATAACAGGAGTTTACCAACCTGTGCACCTCGTGATGCAAGGGAGACAGCAGGGAAAACAGGGAACCCCGAAGTGACCTAAACCTGGGGTTCAACACCATCTTCAGCTGAAGAGCGAGAGCTGTGGGGCAGGCCTGGGGGGGCAGGAAAAGCAGGCCAGCGAGACTTGCGTCCCCTGTGAGGGTCTCCTGTGGTTTAGATTCACCCTCTTCCTTGACACAAGGGAGGCTCCCTGCACGTGCAGATTCCCTTTCTATAGGGCAACGCTGCTTTGTTCTCAGGGCTTCTCCTGCATGTGCCAGTTCTCAAGATAATACACTCAAAATGATCCTTATGCCAAAGAGGCAGACTTTGGGTCAGTGTGTTCTGCTAGGAGGTTAGATAACACAGCGTGTGAACACTCACACCCATTGTCCTTGCAAATGACAAAAGACTGACTAGTGACTCCTGGCACAGACGTAAATCCACTGGGGGTGTGTTCAGTTTTGCATTTTTAAAAAAGGTTTATTTATTTATTTTAGAGAGGGTGGGGGGGAGGAGCAGAGGGAGAGA